ATATATATATATATATAGGAGTAGAAATACCAAAAAACAGCCTAGTATTGAACGAAAACATAAATTCTAGCCCAAGTGTCACAAGGGAAAGATCAAATAACTCCCCACACCAAATTATGATCCCATGGCAAAGCTAAGGACGGATGCAAGAATAAGCGAAAACCAGAAATTTATTGGTCAAACGATCAAGAAATCCGTCCATTTTCATAGGAGAGAAGAAGATGTACACATCCAAGCTTACCCCTCGAATGGTTGAGGGAGAAAGAGAGAAGCGTCCGACTGTTGCGAGAGGGAGTGAGAGAGCTGCGGGAGCGCTAAGAAGAAAATGAATCGAGACGGCATGGGATGACAATTTTAGGCCAATTGCGTCGGCTTTTTCGTCTTCCTTGCGTCCTAATTTTTAGATATTGTTAAGTAACTAGTTTGCGTCGATTTTTTCGACGCAATCCGGCTTAAAAGCTGCCCAACATCACAACAGATTTCACCGCCTCTGTGGGAGAGAATAGGCGGGAGGAGGATTGCACTGAGGGTAAAAAAAGCTTTTGACGAGCCGAAAGTTGGGGCCGCGGGATGGATATAGCGGCCCTCTTTTCTTCCGCTTCAGCTTCGTTCTGCCGCGACGCTGAGAGCTAAACGATTGATTTTCGCGATTCCTTGCCGCGAAGTCGTAAAAAAGCAGACCCAAACGGAGCCTGAATAGTCATTTGAATTGAATTATTTGAGGCAAATCGAATGCAATTATACATTTCATCATATATTTTATAACAGGTAACATTTTATGCATTTTGATAAGCATATATACCCCACCAAAAATTAAAATAATATAAGAAAAAAGCTTCAAAATAATGTTATAGGTTTCTTTATTATGTATTAAAAAATTAAATTTTTTTTATTTATAATATATTTTATCATGAATAATTTAAATATTAATTTATATTAAGTTTGTTGTAGATAAATTAGTTAATTATTTTTTACATTAATGAAAGGGTTAAACTTGTTAATTAATTAGAGGACAATTACATATATGACACCCAAAATATTGTTATTTATAAGTCAAGCAACCTCTTTTATTCATTTTTCAAATTCTCACTTAAATATCAAAGGGCATAAAAAATTATCCCGTATATTAATAAAAATATTTCTTGTGCTCTGCATGTAATTATCCCGTATATTAATTAATATATAATTAATATTAAATTAATAAAAAATATAATTGAACAAAAAAAATTAACTAACAATATTTTAAATTCATAAAATTTATTTCACACGAAAATATTCTCGTATCATCATGTTTACAAAAGAAATACTATCTTTCACGTCGGGATAGAATGACACCTGAGCTCGGTGTATATCGAGAAGGTGCTCGTAGTAGTCGATGCTCCAACTGAAATACTCCATCAAAATCCAAGTTTGGTAGGCTTTCTGGTGATCTATTAAAGTAATTTGTATTTACTTATATCTTTTCTTAAAATATGTTAATTATAAATAGTGACCATCCATGAAGTTAATTAATACAAAAAAGCAGCCATTGTCCTTAGCCACTTAACATAATATTGGGATTAGTTTTTTTAAATAAAATACACATTTCATTATATGATGTCATTATGACAATAAAATATTGCATGAATAAATATTGAAGTTTATATATTAGACATGTATTTGCATAAACAAAAAGTGGTTTGTATATGTAAATCCTATTTTTTAAATAGTTAAAATCTGAATTCTGAATCCCTTTATACTCTATAGAGGCAAGATCAATAAAGTGCAACTACTCAATGACTTGATTCAAAAAAGCATTACTTTCTACTCTCGTGCTTCCCCTTTCCTTTCTAGTCGAGTCGAGGCTCGCTTGTCGCTCCCAGAACGTCTATATATATGATAACAGTTGATCAAAAATGACAAATACTATCACCAATAGGTACAAAAACACAATCATGCCCCGCTTGTATTCACCTTAATGATACAAACTAATCTTACATAATTTATATATTGTTGATTTTTTAAGGGGCATTTACATATATACCTTCGGGATACAAACTAATTCTTATATGTTTAATTTTTATAAAGTGAAATATATCTTTTCATGAAGGTTATAAGACGGCATATATGTAAAAATTAACATTTAGGTATTAAATATGTAAGCACATAGGAATTAGAAGGTATGTATCCAAATAGCCCTTTTTAACATCGTTTACATAACTGTCCCATTATATAATTTAGGAAGAAAACTCTTTCGTCTCTACAAACTTACACATTCCACTCATTCACCGAACTCTGCTACTTAACTTATCCAAAGACCAGGTATCAATACAATCAAAGTCAACCAGCTCTGGAATGGAGGGTGAGGAGGAGGAGGAGGAAGGAGAGGAGTTCCTTTTATGAAAGTAACCCCTCATCAAATCTCCATCCTCCATACTAACCAACTCCATCCTCCTCTCATCTTCAGCTTCATTAAACAGCTCCAACTCCTCCTCCAAGTATGCAAGCCAGTTCTTGCCCTCATCGACCAAACCGCGGCCGCCGGCCATCCCGGCCTCTTCGCCCACACTGCCGACATTGGCGGCATCACTCCAAAGCTCCGGTTCAATCGGAATATCAATGAGAATGTCATCATCGTCGACCGGCGGTGCCGCTAAAGGAGACAAATTTGGAGACAAAACAGAGTCCAGAATGTCCCACATGTCATGTTGGGGCTCCGTGGGGATCACGATTTTGTTGGCAGCCTCAGGCTGCGCTGCAATGATTTCAGGTGATTGTGTTGGGTAATTTTCATGCTTTACACGCTTCTTCAGATGCGTGTTCCACACATTCTTGATCTCGTTATCCGTCCTCCCGGGCAGACATGAGGCTATCTTTGACCATCTATTAGTACACAAAAAAATCAAGTTTTTAACTTGAAGCACAATGTTAATAATTATAAACCAGCCAAATTATCATTTTAATGAATTACTTGTTGCCGAGCAATCCATGGAGATTGATGATGGTGTCTTCTTCCTCCTTGGTGAAGTTACCTCGCTTGATGTCGGGGCGGAGATAGTTGATCCATCGAAGGCGGCAGCTTTTTCCGCACCGCAACAAGCCTGAAAAATGATTCTCTGTTCCATTGGTGAAAAGGAAAGAAGAAATTTTAAAGAGGGAGAAGGATTGGAGGAAGACCGGCTTGTTTGGGGAGAGCTCGCCAGTTGCCATGGCCGTGCTTGCGGATATAGGAGATGAGGCGAATATCTTCTTGTGGAGTCCATGAGCCCTTGTGGAGTCCAATTTTCTGGCAACACGGAGCTCTGCCTCGTCCCATTGCCCTGGCAGATCTCTCTTGATTTCTTTTGATCCAAGTTTTGAAGCTAACTGACACTAAGATATGTTAATATATATGTAGGTATATATATATATATATATATAGTTGCTTGACGAAGCAGAAAGTTTTGAAGATGGAAGAAAAATGAGGGGAGGTTTGATGGGGGAGATTATGGAAGGAGAAGTCTCACCAAAGAGTCAAGATTTCTATGCTTAATATTCTCTCCCTACCAAACCATTTAGTAGAGAACGCAAACAATAAAAGAAAGATGGAAAGAGATATGATTGAAAGACAGCTGCATAGTCATTCTGCCCCTTACATCATATTTGAGAATTCTTAGTTTCTATATATATATATATATATTTCTTAAAAGATGGCTGACTGGCGCCAACCACCCCGGCTTATAACCCATCAGATCTGGGTTGGACCCGTGTGCCTAACCACTTGAGTACCACCGCCATATAGTGACCAGCCTCTCAAATTTGTGCTCACCTTTTAATTGAAAGTCCTTGATGAGGTGATGAGATAAGGATTTCTTGTAAGAATTTAGCCAAGGAGTCTATAAGCGATATGTATGATTTGCTTTATTTCTCAGTGACAAAAGCCTTCTGATTTTGTTTTAAATTGAAAAGTAAGAGAGTGAGAAATTCTAATAATTTTATACTTAATTATGATTCCTTAATCATTTGATATGCAGTTTATTCCTTTTACCTTTTTTTCCTTAAAATCGGCCAATTATTCAAGAGCAGTTTTTGGTAGGTACGTAGGAAAAATACAAAATAAAATTCAAATGCTACAAAATACATGTAAGCTCCCAAGTTGGATAAATACTATGGTGACGTTAATTTGAAGTTGGTTGATGAGTCCAAGTGTCTTTCATTTACTAGTTTATACGTTTCAATAATTTTCTTAGTTTATAAATAATTCTTTTTATATTGTGCACATCTTTTTTGTATGTAGCTTATGAGTCTTACTATCCTTTTTTTCTGGTTGAAAGCAAATTAAAGAATTCTGAAGAGCTGAGTTTAAGCATTTTGGGAAGAAAAAATCCTGATTATTATTTTCTTAATATGGCTGACATTATATCTAATAATATTTTTATATTTTTTTTATGATTAAATGATGGACACAAGCTAAGTATATGCACAAATATGGCTATATTTCTAAACACAAGCTTTATATGCATAATCTAACAATAGAAACAAATACGCTGAATTGAACCCACTTTTCAGAGTTACTGAATGAAATCCATCTGTTGAAGTGGTTGAATTTCATCTGTTCTGTGGAGGTGACCTAACCCATTTAGGGAGGGACAACTGTTATACATGATCATCATTACGGGCAAGGATGTAAGTCCATCATTATTTAAAAGCGTCACGCATGATGTCCACGTCATGGGTTGTTCATCCAAAAAATCATGGATGAATGTCGTACTGTATTAAATCCATTTTATTTTCTATTATTTTTTATTTTTATATAAAAAAGAAGTCAAGGGAGAGAAGGGGAATGATGGATCTTTTCTTGGAGACTTTCTCTCTCTTTAAAATATTGTAATAAATCCTCTGGTGAGCTTTTTTATTATGACTTATGGAAGGTTCAAGTTCAATATATAATTCGTGAGACCTCCCCTCAAGGCTCATATTCATCTCTCTCTTCTTCCTTTATTCCATAAAAAATAAGGTCTTTACCGAGTTGTAGGCACATTTTTTTTGGTCCTTTTAAAACTTGGAGTATATATATATATATATTATCGTTGTATTATTTCTCAGTTTCAAACAAAATTTTCTCCCAAATAGTAAAAAATGACCCGGTGAAGAAATGAATCAAAATGATGAGAATACATGACAAAAATAGACAAACCAATCAAAAAGAAATATGGAAAGCTTATGCAAGGTAATCATTGTGTGATATATCGAGAGTACGTATAAAAATAGAAACAGATCAACATACCTAGAAACACAATATCGATGGAAAAAATATTTATACAAACAATCCTTAACCAGAGAACCAAAAAGATTATTTTTGTTTTGGAGTCAGGAGAGACTCCCAAAAGAACGTGTCCTTTTGATTAATTACATCTTGGGGGATACCCAATAATGCTCTCAATAATACGGGTCCTACTTATATTCAAGTGATAACTTGTAAAATTGGGTGTCACAAATGATGGTTATTCCACCATAATATCTTAATGATATCAAAACTCACATCAAGTCATAGTTGCAGAGAGTGAGTCTCTCACATCCCACATAGACGACGACATATCAGCAAATGAGACCTATGAAAATAACTTGGTCGTTCGATAGGGGCTCACTTTATCTCAAAGCCTAATCGAGCTATAAAGGTTGAGGGTGAATCACCGTATCCCAAAAGGGAGATGACCTGTCTGCAATCGGGGTATATGAGATGACATCAATGAGGTAACAAAAGATTAGAAAGGGCTCAATGGTGGTTTATCAACTGGAATGTAAGAAAATTTTAGTAAGGTAGCGATAGCCGGGCCAGGATTCCATGGATCCATCATCTCAAGCTATTAAGATCCTATGTTTACCTGATCTTAAAGGCAACCGACTCAACCTGAACAAAGATCACTTGCCAGCACCCCATGTATTATGTCATCCAAGGAAACCTCATTAGCCTTAATGTCATAGGAAAGAGACGTCTAAGCCCTTTGACCCTCTACATGTAGAAGTGATAGAATGAGTCTTATACCTGCCAAGAAAATGATGAGGAGGTCACTGAAAAGGAAAGAAAAAGAGTGGTATGGCTACAAAACCAAAACCGTCCCACAAAGGGCTTATACTCTGTTTGGGTCAAGGAAGACTCTAACACTCAACGTGCTAGAAACCCACCAAAATAAAAACAATATCTTAGGTCAGTCGGGTTGAAGAAGCATGAGGGCTTCTCCTCGGGATATGCAAATATGATGTAATTATCTAAAACAATCATAATATGGATACCCAATTAGTATGACTTGGGTTATATTCATTTTATCCAATGCCATTTTAAATTCGGCCTAAAGGCCATGCAGGAAAGTAAAAATAAATTTTCAAAAGTTGTGATATTTTTATCCTAAATTTTAAATTTTCTCATTCTTTTATTATTAAGATTTTGTAGAAAAATTATATTTTAAGTTCTTTAATGAACCTAAGTTATGTTTTTCTCAGAGCATTCCAAACAAATCACAAGCCATATGAAAGCAAGAAGTTAGTATTCAACAAAAAATAAATAAACCAAATATATAAATAATAAAAGGTAGACGTCGCAGGGTTGGTAGCATATCCCAGAAAATAAAAAATAATAAGGCGGTCAACTCCGCATATACATCTCATGTTCTAATTCTATGCAACTATATGAATTCAAAATTAAAGTACGTGACACAAGCAAGCTGCTCATTGTCATCGTCACATGGTTTTGTCCATCAAGCACACCGAAACCAGCGCCCATACCTTATTTCTGATACAGACTCTTCCTAAGGACTCTAAAAGGTACATGATAAAAAGTCTAACAGAAAGACTCAACCTTTAAAATAGAGTGGTTAGCACAGGTTATAGCATGAAACACGAAATAGGCTTTGTCCGACGGGAGGAGGCTTAACAACGCCTACAGACAATGAGTTAGATGAAATCATTGCTACTCCTCCTTGTTGTACCTGGCTCCCAACAAAAGACCAACTTAATATGCTAATGAAAAAGTCTCAAACTCGATAAGCACACAAAGGTAGCACAGAAATGCCTGGCTAGGCACTAACCATCAACAATAGCCGAAACATATGAAAAGCCTAACTACACCACAGCGCTAGCTAGCAAGCATCTAAACTAAAGTGACCTAGTCACATACAACTAAAGCGTGTAAGAATATGTGAGTAAAGGCTAGCATACATTTTTGATAAAGACCCCAACCTCGACTCCATTCTAAGGGTTCAAGAATTCTAAAAGATGCCACTAAATGCAAGTTTTACGCAAGTAAAAGCTTTAAAAGATTGACCTTACATATGGTCTAAGCAAAAATATAATAATATTAAAATATTAAAATAAGTTTCAAAATATAATGCATAAGTGTAACAAAAATAGATATTTTATTCTTTTATCATAAGTCCTAAGGAAAGAAAAACCTAAGTGATACCCATTAGACATCATGGAACACTAGCATAAATATACACGCATTGATCATGATGCAATCACTCATATTGCTCGCTGAGACATCTTCACTAGAAACACTCTTTACAGCATAGCAATCAACAACACATCTAAGTGGTAGATCTGCCATCAAGGCTTTAGGATAAAGTACATGCAAGCTTGCAAAGTGATAATACGAAGATGCATCACTCATATGACACATGCAGACTGGGTGCATCAGATACAAAACACCTCAAAAAGGAATTATACCTCGCTCAAGAGGCAACCCAGATGCTCATTCAAATGGCAAACATATGCTACACTAATGCAAAATAATATATAAAAATGGTATGAGGTTTGATCACTTCAGGTATAGGACACCTCGAAGAGGAATAACACCTTGCCAGAGAAACGATCCAGCCAACTCGTGCATGTGGCAAGCACAATGATGAAAGAATGTTCATAAAGTATGCTCATGACAAAACAAAATGATACTGTGAATGTCAGTTAGTTTGACTCAAGCATGAGATAGGTTCAATGGCTAGAGAGCATGACCCATGTTAGTTGAGAATCATTTAGATAGCATGACCCAGGCTAAGTGACACAATGTGACAATTCTACAACACTCATATAGATGATGCTATAAGAAATGAGGTTGCATGACTCTCGTTAGGGAGAGTCATACGCCGGGTAGGCTTGATATGCATATCACCCCCTCATTGGACATGTAAATGTTCTACATGAACATTAGAAACATAAGCTCATGTGAAAATCTCAAGCATACAAGATATGACATACATGATGCCATAGAAAAGGATCACATACAACAACATACAAATGAAAATGTGAGCATGCATATCACAATACACAATGACATGTGAAGATGCCAGGAAGTGAGTGTACAAAATATTGTATCTGAGTGTGGCACAAATAT